GAGCATTTGCTTCCCAAATGGAGACCTCTTTCCCAAAGCCCAGCTGCTGACAGCACCACCTTGGACTCTGTCAGGAGACATGGAGACCTGCCCTTGGCACACATGTGCATGTGTGAGAAACAAGCTTTGTGTTTATTAGTTCAACATGGCCTTGCCTACCCTGGCTAGAACAAACTGCCAAACAGCAGATAGACAGACAGACCCTGGCTAGAACAAACTGACAGACAGACAGACAGACAGACCCTGGCTAGAACAAACTGCCAAACAGCGGATGGATGGATAGATAGATAGATAGATAGATAGATAGATAGATAGGGAAGGAAGGGAGGGAAGAATGGAAGGAAAGAAAGAAAGAAAGGAAGAAAGAAAGAAAGGAAAGATGGTGTTAAGAAAGGACAAGAAGACATTTTGTTGTCTTTGGAGACCAGAGATCAAATGCTCACATGGTCATCTGTGGTGTCTGGAACCTATCAGGGAGTCAGGTGGCACTGTGTAGAACCTTTGTGGGACCTTAGTACACCCAAATTGTTCCTTGAACAAATGTGGAAACAGGCTCAGACCAAGGACTTGATAGCGTGCTTTGGCAGAGGACTCCGCATCAAGAGCTCTCTCTAATGAGGTCAGAAATCCGTCAGTCATGATCTCCATTTGACAGATAGGAAGATGGAGGCCTGCAGAAGGGACAAAACATTAGAAGTAGTCCCCACTCACGACTCTTTCATGCTCTTTCTTGTAGGCACATGTTCTCAGGACAGTGTCTGGGAAGGACAGACACGCACAGTGCCAGGCAGGATCAGTCAGCTCAGGCCCTGTGCACATCTGGGCAAAAAATGGCTGAGGCTGTTCAATGCCCATGCCCATGCCCATGCCTTCTCCCTTTGCATCTCTTGAGAGCTGGGATTAAAGTTAAGCACTACTGTGTCTGGCCTGCCTTTTTTTTAAAACTAAGGGAGCCCCAATGTTATCTGGCAGCTAAAAGATGCCATTTCTAAGCCTCCCACACATGTGGCCATGAAGATGTAGCTGCTTAGGACTAGCAGAGTACTCTAGGTAAAAGGCTGTAGCTCCTGGGACTAGAAGCCAGGCAGCTGCCTTCTGCTGTAGCCAAGTTTGGCCATGTAGCCCCAAGCAAGGTGCTGCTGTCAGCCTGGAGACTGTTGTGAAGAACACCGGAGACCAGCTTATGAAAATCCAGTAGAACTCTCAGTTTATAGGGATGCCATGAGGGCACCTGGCCTCCCATTACGTCCCAGGGGGCAGGTGCAGTTGTGGCACACTAGCCTGGATTACAAGGCACCTTCCCGATTCCTGGGCTGGGTCAGAGGGCACAGCTTCACCTTCCCTGTTGAGCAGCTTCTCCCTTCTTGCAGTAGAGAATGCCCTTGATGTTTTTATGTCTGAGGGTTTTTTTTTTCATTTTATGGTAAAATTTAGTATAAAGAAAAGCACTAAATCTCTAGGTACAGTAACTGGCCACTGTTAAACAGCAGACAACATGCAAGAAAGGTCAGACTTCATAAACCCCTATCTTCCTTCTGTAAATCAGAAAGGTTCCTAGACAAGCTCTCTAGCCCTAATAGCCTTGAGAAAGAGAAGGCTTGGAGGCCACCATTAGACCATATTACCAAGTAAGTATCTCAGTCACAGATAGTGTCTCATAGCAAACTGCAAGAGGCTGGATTGGCAGATAGAGCTGTCAGTGTTGTGAAACCCTGGTCACAGTGATCACATTATCTGGAGGTTAGTCTCTTAAACACTGGATCACATACTTCACACTCACGAATGAAAAGGTCACCACGCCATGAGCCACCAGCCCCAAGTCCATATGACTAGACTAACTATTTATCCTTCCCACATCCTTTAGACTTCAGCCAAAGAACTTTTGTTTTCATTTTAAATTCCAATTTCAGCTAAAAATGTCAATCTTCAGCTGTCTGTAGATTTTCATAATATACTCCCCAACCATGTCTTATGTTTAAAAGCTTAAGATTTAAGAGGATGTTCACATAACCATTAATTTCTAAAGGGGCTCAAGTACACAAAAAGGTTTTCTGAATAAAATTGGCTCCCAGACTGCATGGTGGCACACACCTTTAATCCCAGCACTCGGAAGGTAGAGGCAGGTGGATCTCCATGAGTCATATGCTAGCCTAGTCTACATAGTGAATTCCAGGCCAGCCAGGGCTACATAGGAATACCCTGGGGGGGGGGATAAGGGAGGGAGGAAGAGAGGGAATTGCATCAATTACCAGTAGCTGCTCAGCTAGGCCTCAGGTAGGTCATTCCATTACCCACACTGGAGTTTTAACTGGTTTGAATGCATACAGGGGTCCACAGCTACAGTGAATTTGTGTGTGCAGCAGCCAAGGACAGCGTTTCACAGCACTGCTCCCTATCCTCCATGTTTGCTATTTTGCACGGGATTGCTATGTATCCCTGGCTGCCTGGCATTCATTACATAGCCCAAGATGATCTCCAACCCAAGGAAATCATTCTACTTTAGTTCTCAAATGCATGTACTACCATGATCAGCTTTAGGAATGTTTTCAGAATTCACTTCATACTACACAACTCTATAAAGTTTGTAAGTAACCTGGTAAGTAGAGAAATGGTCAACCTTATTCAAGGAAACTCCATTTTACTGTTGCTGCTTCAGAATGGTGACAATCAGTTGTCCCCAACTCCATTTTCTCCATTACCTCTTCCTCAGGTATCCCCAACATTCTTTCCTCCAACACCTCTACCTGCAGGACACATGTAGACTCGTGTGTATATAATTTGAGACAGGGTCTCTATTGTATAGTTCTGGCTGTTCTGGAACTCATTATGTAAACCAGGCTGGTCTCAAACTCAGAGATCTGCCTGCCTCTGCCTCCTGAGTGCTGGGATGAAAAGCATGTGCCACCACCACCGCCGCCCTGCGAGCACAGAGGATTCTGAACAAGCCATGGGCTAAGCACGAAGGTGCAGTTGCCGATTACTCAGGTCTGCCACAGAACTATCAAGGAGTTTCTAAATGAATTCTGCACACTTAGTGTTTTAAACCTATTAAAATTATTCACTCAAGTCCATAAAAAACAAATCCTGGTCATAACCCTGGTTCCAGTATTTATTTTGAGAACATCCTTTGTAGACCTAACATGTAGGCCTTGTTCTCAGGGAACCACAGGTTGAATTTTCAGCCTTTGGGAACATGAGCAATACAAAATGATGATTCTTAGAGTCAGAGGCAAAAGGCCATGTGGACGGGGTGTCACCATTCCTGGATGTGTTCCTTGTGTGGCACTCTGGGCTGTAGGCTCCTCTCTGTCAGGCAGTGCCTCCGGATCTGATGTTAGTACAATCCTTCCAGGCTCATCATGGGAACTGTGAAATGCACCTGCCTGGCAAGTATCCCTGATACTCACCCCACCCTGAGTAGGTAGGTGACCTGCGTCATTGCTTAGGGGATTGCCCAGCACATGACTCCTAGGTCCCTCCCTAGACAAAGTCATCCAACTATACTACCAGGAATTCCTCCTCCTCTTCTGTTTAACCAGACTTGCATATACTTATTTAATGGGATAAATACACATTTAAAATTTCAAGATTTAAAGGGCACAAAGAAGCTGGACATGGCGGCACAAACATTAAACACAGCACTTGGTAGGCAGAGGCAGCCAAGACGCTGTGTCAAAACAAACAACAACAAAGCAAAGTGACAAAGGGAAAGAAAGAAGAAAGAAAGAAAGAAACTCTGTCCTACCCCAACTCTACCTCAACACAGTCCCTTCATTCCCCTTACAGGAGACAACCAATTACATTTTTTAAGAAATGATGTTTACTGGCTGGATGGTTCAGTGGGTAATGAGAACCCCACCATCTATGTGGAAGCTATGAATGGCAGCATATGTCTGTAACTCCAGCACTAGGCATGTAGAGACAGATCTCAGGGGCTTGCTGGACAGCGAGGCTACCAAAAATGATGAGCATTAGGTTCAAAGATCTGTCTCAAAAACTAAGGCGGAAAGGAACAGAGGAAGAAGGCAGTGTCAATCTCTGGTTTCTGGTTTCTTCTTTTTTTTTTTTTCCGAGACAGGGGTTCTCTGTAGCTTTGGAGGCTGTCCTGGAACTCACTTTGTAGACCAGGCTGGTCTCGAACTCAGAGATCCGCCTGCCTCTGCCTCCCGAGTGCTGGGATTAAAGGCATGCGTCATCAACGCCCGGCTGGTTTCTGGTTTCTAATGCCACACACACACACACACACACACACACACACACACACACACACACACACACACACACACACACTCCTCCCTACCATAAAGTACAAACTGAAAAGCTCGCCAGTGCTGGAGCTATCAGGCTAGCATTTGCGTAGGAGTGTAAGACTGGATCCCTAACATCTCAGAGACGGAATGAACAAGAGAAAGGAGAAAGGGAAGAGACCTCAGTTCTCATCCGGAGCCAACTCTGCATTTGAGTATGTCTTCCTCAGCTGCCTGCAGGAAAACAAGCTTTTGTGACAAAAAACCAGAGGGTGGGACCTTTATGGTGATTTCTCACAATCTCACTAGTGTGGTTATATCTCCTCTTACATGATTTAATAATTTTGTCATCTTCCATAGATTGGTGAATCGTTTAAAAAATGTCAAGCATCTGGGATTTCCTGATTGGTTTTACTAAAAGAAACACACAGTGGTGGACCCAGAGACTTCAATGTAATACATTTCTAAGAAATATACTAGGTTACAAAATATGGCCACTTAAAAAAACCCAGGGAGGGAGGGTGAGAGGGAGGGAAGGAGGGAGGAAGGGAGGGAGGGAGGAAGGAAGGAAGGGAGGGAGGGAGAGAGGGAGGGAGGCCTTGCATCAATTAACAGATACCATGTATCTGCCTGCTCTCCAGCCAACTGACTTTCCCCACCAGCCGAGTGAGGCCTCTGCAGCCAGTACTGACTTCCTCATAGGGCCAGTTAACCCTAGTTTGTACTCATTTCCACAACACTTGCTCATATCAGCCATGTGTCCTTAACCCCGCCTCTGAATCTAGACTAAGGCAAAGGCCTCATGTGGGCCTGGTGACGGCTCTGTTTACCTAGCCACACAGCCTAACCTGGGCCTATCCCAGTCCATGTGAGTCAGCTGAGCAAGGGGCAGGCACCACCCTTCCTGGAACAGGAATCCAGCTGGGACACGGGCCACCAGCACATCCCAGGAGACTCTACAGTGACTGGAGCCGGATTCAGAGCATCTGGCCAGCAGGTAAGAACAGACTGGATTGGCTGGGACAGGAACTAAACAAGACCTGCTCACAATCATTTCCTTCCCTCCCTTGTCCCGTCTTCTAGTCTTTTTAAAAACTTGCTTTACTCTTGGAATGAAATGGGGACAAAGCTTTCCTTTTCTGACCGCAGGCCCAGGCAGCGTTTGAAGGATGAATGATTTTCTGCACTGGTCTATGCTACCCTTTCCTCGTATCTATCCCAAAGCCATCAGGCAGGAGGCCCCAAAGGCTGTGACTCTGATACTCAGACTTCCCTAGTGGCTCTCTCTCATTCAAGAAAGGCCCAAATTCTAACCCTAACCCTAACCCTAACCCTAACCCTAACCCTAACCCTAACCCTAACCCCTAACCCTAACCCTAACCCTAACCCTAACCCTAACCCTGTCTGGTACTCCGTTGCATTGCTGGACTCTGAATGCAGGCGCCTGAAAGAAATTCGACGTTGGGTACATTCTAGCAGCACACTCTCTGCAATTCAGCGGCAATAGGACGCCACGGCCCCTCCGCAACCGCGGAGCATCCTGGGAGCCCACAGCAAGCAGGCTGTGGCGCGCATGCGCTGTAGGCACCGCACGCTGGCGAGCGGGACTTTGCAGGAGTTGCTAACTACAGGGGAGACGCAGCTTCCGACTGCGCTCTGAGCCTCGGGATAGCGGGGTGTAGACGGCTGGGGGCGGGGGCGGGGTGGAAGCAGGGGCCGGTCATGGAACCGTGTGAAGTAGGGGCGTGTAGAAGATGGTCCCTGGACAATTGGGACTATCCGGGGAATTCAGTGCGTCAAGTGTGCAGTCTGTGCCTACTTGCTCCCGTTTCTAAAGAGAAGGGACGGGTTACAGGGTTCGTCTGGAGTTACTGCCCAGGCAAGGACGTCTTGTAGTGAGGGGAAGAACAGCAGCCTGCTGTAAGGGCAGTGGTGAAAGGGTTTCGGTCAGGGGGCAGTTTCCAGGAAGTGGGCCTCTGGGACTGTTTCCTCTCAGAGGACAGCTGCAAAAAGCATCTGTTCTATTGCTGTACTGTTACAAAAAGGAAGACAGGGTGGTCTCTCAGGTTCATATCTGCGCAGTGCATATTCTGGGACAGCATAATTTGGTATATGGTAACAGCTGCGCGTTATTTCAAGGATAAAAGCCACCTGGAGGGTGCACTGCAGGGCAGGTCCCAGGCAAAGAGGTCTCATCCCTTAGCTGACCTAAAAGGTTAGCATCATACTTGCCCCTCCTCTTAGGAATTCTTGCCTTGGGATAGTAATTTTTGCCCCGAAGACTAGCCTAGGACCAAGAACTGTAGCCATCTTCTCCAGCAGCCAGGCAGGCAACAAAAATCAGCAAAGGGCTGGTTGGGTCCTTGAGCCGCAGGGGCGTAGCTACAGCCCATCTACAAAGGAGTCCTGGCTTCCTTCCTTCCTTCCTTCCTTCCTTCCTTCCTTCCTTCCTTCCTTCCTTCCTTCCTTCCTTCCTTCCTTCCTTCCTTCCTTCCTTCCTTCCTTCCTGTCTTTCTCTCCAGGATCAGTCAGAATCTGTTAAGGGTAGCATCTGCAATTCTGTATTTAAGCAACAAATTGTTAAGTATTCTGCAAGGTCAAATAAAATTTCTTTACATTTGGCCCTTGGGCCACCAGTTCCATTTCAGGGAAGGTTCAGGGAGCCTTTGTGGACCATTTTAGGAAATACAGGCTAGGTTTCAGGGGAGCTACTAGTGTGTGTGTGTGTGTGTGTGTGTGTGTGTGTGTGTGTATGTATGTGTGTGTGCACGTGCTGAATTTTTTTCATGTCAACTTGACACAAGCTAGGGTCATCTCAGAGGAGGGAGAAAATGCCTCCACAAGATCCAGCTGTAGGTCAGGCAGTGGTGGCACACACCTTTATTCCAGCACTCCAGAGGCAGAGGCAGGAGGATCTCTGTGAGTTCGAGTCTACAGAGTAAGTTCCAGGACAGGCTCCAAAGCTACAGAGAAACCCTGTCTCAAAAAAATCAAAAAGATCTGGCTGTAGGCAAGCCTGTAGAACATTTTTAACTTAGTGGTTGGTTTAGGAGGGCCCAGCCTATTGTGTGTGGGACCAGTCCTGGCCTGGTGGTCCTGGGTGTTATAAGAATGCAGCCTGTGTAAGCCATGAGGAGCAAGCTAGAAAGTAGCATTCCTATGTGGGCCTGCATCACGCAGCTCCTGCCTCAGGTTTCTGTTCTGTTTGAGTTCCTGCCTTGGCCCTCTCAATGGACTGTGACTTAGAATATGTAAGTGAGAGAAACCCTCTCCTCCCCAAGTTGCTTTTGGTCATGGTGTTTCATGACAGCAATAATAAACCTGAGGCAGAGATTGGTACCTGGGTTGTGGGATGTTGCTGTGATCGACCTTACCATGTTGTTTTGGGGAAGATTGTGGAAGGACTTTGGAACTTGGACTGGAAAAGCCATTGAGAGTTCAAAGCTCAGTGAGCCATTGTGAGAACTCGGGGAGTCTGAGGATGATGGAGGTCTGTCTTGCGAAGTTTCAGAGAGAAGCAAAGGCCCTATTGGAGCCATTTGATATTTAATTAAGAATCAGTGGTTCTGGTCAGCTGGGGCTGAAGACTCTGCTGTGATTAATAAGAGACCAGTGCTGATGAAAGCAGAGGCAGATACCCACAGACAAACACTGAACCGAACTCCTGGAATCCGGTGTCAGAAAGAGAGAACTGATGGGCAAAGGAGTTAAGACTGGGCTGGTTTAACCCACAGAAACACTTTACCTGAACAAGGGGGAGCTCTTGGACCCCAGATTGATGGCTGTGTGGTAAGCATGGGACTGACCCAGACCCACTGAATGTGGGTGTCAGTGAGGAGGCCTAGGTAATCTATGGGGCCTTGGGTAGTATTTATCCCTGGTGTACAAATAGACTCTGAGTGCCCATGCCACAATACGGGAAGCTTTCTCAGCCAGGACTATTGGGAGAGGGCCTAGGCCCTGCCCTGGATGAAATGACAGTTACTGGAGATCTACCATGGAGGGCCTCACCCTCCCTGGGGATCAGATTGGAGATTGGGTGGGGGACTGGGGGACCTGATGGGGAGGGCGAGGGAGGTTGGGAGGGAGAGGAAGCTGGGATTGACATGTGAAACAAGATTGTTTCCAACCTAAATAAAAAAAAAGAAAGAAAAAAAAAAGAGACCAGTGCCACTGATGTAAACTATAACTTTACTGGCACATTAGATGCTGACAGAAGGGGCTGAGAAATTAATGGTGATTAAAAGAGACCAGCATCAGTCAGGTGAATTCTGGGAAGTGTTTCCTGAGAGTCAGCATACAGAAGCTGGGTTCGAGGCTCAGTCAACATTATACCAGTGCTGGAAGCTGGACTTGGTAGTACCGCCCAGGTGGTACTGGTATTTAAGGTATGAAGGGGTTGTGGAGAGCAGCTGAGAACAGTACTTCTCCAAGGCCTCAGCATCACCCCCACTCCTCCAAGAGGCAGGGGGCTTTAAGTCATGCCACAATACCCTGGCTTCATGCTTTAAAGGCCTGGTGGCTACTGTCTGGGGAGCAGAGAAAGAGGCCTGTCTAGGGGATGCTGTGGTACTAATGCAGGACCAAACGGAGACAGAGGTCTGTGTGGCAGGGTGTGGGTGAGAAGGACTTGCTAATCCCTGGAAGCATGGTAGGGATGGTAGAGAAGGAGGAATGGGCTGGGGCAGCAAGTACAGAAGGAGAAGTGAGTCATGAGGATGCCCTCAGTGCCCCGTGGTCATGCAGGGTCATGGGGCTGGTTTTCACACATCATGCACAGCCTAATCTGTTCCCTATGCCACCCTCTGGCATTCCTGTTATATGAGGGCAAGAAGGACATACCATGACCATTAATAGTGGCAGCGAGCTGGGAAGGTGCAGGAGAACTGAAGAGTTCCGGGTAGGTGTACAGCTCAGAGCTTGTCCTGGTGACAGGGCCATTGTGACAGGGCTGTGACCTCTACCCTAGGAGGCAGGTCCAGCAAGGGGAGGCGACAGGGAGGCATCCAGCTCGAGTGGCGTGCCTAGTATAGGGCAGGAAGTATGACAGAGTCAGGGGTTACTGTGCAAAGGGAAGAACCCAAAAGTGCAAACTCCCCCTGGACAGTTCACCTAGGGAGGGATGGTCTTTTTAAGAGGCTGATAGTCTGAGCTGCTTTGAACACCTCACTTAGAGGAGCTGCAGATTCTCAGGCAGGATGATGGCGTGTGGGTGCGTGCAGTGCCTCTGAGCCTCCGGTCCCTCCTCCTGTGGAGTAGGGTTATACTGAGTGCCCCAGCTTGCTCAGCTCATCCCTCACGGAGTCACGAAGGATCTAGCTTGTTTTTAATGTTACAGGAGCCCACACTTGAGAGGCTTTGAACCTTTAGAGATTTTGGATTTTTAGGAGACCTTGGATTTTTAAAGAGACTGAACTTTTTAAAGTGTTTGGATCTGGGGTCGGGCAGCAGTGGCACATGCCTTTAATGCCACCACTTGGGAGGCAGAAGCAGGAAGTTCTCTGTGAGTTTGAGCCAGTCTGGTCTACACAGCAAGTTCTGAGACAGGCTCCAAAGCTACATTGAGAAACCCTGTCTCCAAAAACCAAAAAGAAGTGTTTGGATTGTAAAGACTGATCGTAACATCAGTGTTAACATGAGATCTTGAGGACAACAAGAAAGGAGTTGGGGCTGTCATGGTATGAACACTGGGGTCAGGCTCACTCACCTGAAAGTAGGGGTGCAGAAGCCATCAGGGTCAACAGAGTGGGCATCCTGGGCCTGAGAAAGAACATGGAGTGTTGCTTAGCAAGTGGTGTATTTGGGTGTCAAGCTGTCAAGAGGCCAATTGTACTGGCTAGTTTTTATGTCAGCTTGACACAAGCTACAGTCAGAGGAAGGAACCTCAACTGAAAAAATACCTCCACAAGATCCAGTCATGGGTAGGCCTGTAGGGCATATTCTTAATTGATGTGGGTTTTGCCAACCCTGGGGTGGTGGTTCTGGGTTCTACAAGAAAGCAGGCAGAGCAAGCCAGAAAGCAACACCTCTCTGTGGCTTTGCATCAGCTCCTGCCTCCAGGTTCCTGCCCTGCTTGAGTTCCCTTTGGTGATAAGCAGTTATATACAGAAGTGCATATGAAGTGCACTCTGTCACCCCAGATTGCTTTGGTTATGTTGCTGTGTCCCAGCAATAGCAACCCTACTTAAGACAGATGGTGGACTGGAACTGAAACACTCAGGATGGAAGGAAAGGGCTGGGAGGGGGGTTCTAGAGTCTCCTGCCTTTCTGCTTAAATGCTAAGTCCCAACCTTCCTGTGGTTGTGAGTGATGCTGTCCCAGCTCCCAGCCGCACCTGGTACACAACAGCTGCTGCATGTGCACCTGCTGAATTGGATGAGGAACCCTTACTATTTCATCTGACCTTTGTCACATGGCCCTTGACCCTGTCTTTTCTTCTGGGTGGTCCACTAGGCTTGTTTTCTAAGGTCCAGGGTCAGTCAGATGTGGAAATTTGTGGGTGGGGATTATGAGTGGTGTAAGTCCTGGCTCCTCCTCTCTAAAGTGGGATAGTAACTCCTAGTGATGGTCTTATACTGTGGGGCACAGGTGACAGGAGGCAGCTGTCCTGCCCTTTTTTCAGAAGGATGGGAGCTGCATCTTCATCCTTCTTCATCCTCTCTGCTCTGCAGGGTGCTCAGAGGAGCAGTTATGTCTGTCCTGTACCCATCTCTGGAGGACCTGAAGGTGGGCCAAGTCATCCAGGTAAGGAACCGGGTCCATTTGCCTAGAGTACCTTATGGTGGCCTTGGGAATTGACCCTAGTAACCAAGGCTTGTCTTGGGGGATGCTGGGTACTGGGAGCCCTTGGGAATTTCTTGGAAGCCCTAGGGCCCAGTGCAGGGGCTGATGCAGTGGCTCTCAACCTGTGGGTTGAATGAACCTTTCACAGTGTCATCTAAGACCATTGGAAAATACAGATATTTATATTACAATTCATACCGTAGTAAAATTATAGTTATGAAGTAGCAATGAAAATAATTTTATGGCTAGAATCATAACATAAAGAACTGTATTAATGGGTCTCAGCATTAGGAAGGTTGAGACCCATTGGGATGATTGGTAAAGGGAGAATCCGGGAGTCAAGGCCCATGGAGAAGTGAGAAAACAAACTAGCTACAGTCGTGTGGGCTTTGGAACTTCCCCATCCTCTGAAGGAACACCCCAGGTGCCAGCCAGTTTCCCCAGGAAACCAGGGTATGGGCTCAGCGTGCTCAGCCCCAAACAGCATCTCCCATCTCTACCCCCTCCCCTCTGTGTTCCCAGAAGCCTTTGGGAATTTCGGCCTTTCTCCCTGAGAACTTGGCTGGGAGTTAGGCTTTCATGCTTTGGCTGCCATGAGCAGAAAATAGTTGGTCACAGGCCCCAGAGAATTTTCCTCCGGAAAGATGCATGTCCAAAGAGGCCATGTTAAAAAAATTACTTATTTTTATACTTTTATTTGTATTTTCCCTGCATGGATGTGTATGTACCATGTGTATGCCCAGTGCCCACAGAGGCCTGAAGAGGGTATCAGATCCTCTACAACTGAAGTTACAGATAGTTGTGACTTGTGATGTGGGTGCTGGGAACTGAGGTCCTCCTCAGGAGCGATGGGTGCCCTTGACTCCTGAGCCCCATCTCTCTAGCCCTAAGACGCCACATTTTAAAAGTATAGCATTTTGATTTTTAATTGATACTTTGTGCATATACATAGCTGTGGGGTACGTGTGACATTTCAATCTGTGTACACACTGTACTGGTCAGATTGGGCAGGGGTGACTGACACACCCATCACTCAGACTTACGTCAGTTATTTGGGCTTGGAATACTCAAAACTCCTCTCAGCTAGCTATTTGAAATACTAGTCCTTGCTTGATGTGCTCACGGTTGTCCACTGTACGATAGAACATCACCCATTTAGCTTTGCTGTGCGTGAGCACATGCAGTATTTGACTTTCTGTACCTGGCAGATACACATGCATATGTAGAGGGCTAATTTATATATGGTCTGGGGCATTGAGGGTTCCAGGGCACCATGCCACCACAACTCTGCAATCCTACTCAATACTCAGAGTCCCTGCCTCAGGGAGTCCTGGGTGTCAAGAGTTCCAGCTACAGCTGAGCAACACTCCATGTTCTTTTCAGGCCCAAACCAGAGCCTCACCCAGGTTGTCTACTCCATCGGCCCCAATGGCTTCTGCACCCCCACTTTCAGGTGAGTGAGTCTGACCCCAGTGTCATGAAAGTTCCAACTCCATTACACCCCAAAGCACTGCTGTGTAACGTGCATTCTTCCCGCTGGCCACCTGGGTCCCATCGCCGCTTTAGCCCCCAAATAACACCACAAGACACTGTATTAACTATAATGCTGGTGCCACCATAGGCAGACCAGACTTTGAGGCAGCCCTTACAGAAGCCCATAGCAATCTTGGGTCAGTCCTATGAGACAGGCTTAAACTTGGTTCCATGGTTCCCCTTTCAGTGCTCTGCTGTTTCCCGAGTTGCCCTCCATCATGGCCTGTGGTCCCTGGTAGTCCTGCACCTGCTCTGGTTTGGCGTCATCTGTCCCACCGGTGCCAAATCAGCTGATCTGAGTACCTCAGTGGTACAGGAAAGGTCTCATTGTCTGAGACTGCTCCAGACAAAGGTGCTTCAAGCCTTTGGCAGAATTGGTTCACGCCACTGGCAAGCATTCCCGGGACACACAACGTGATCAGGAGATCAGAGTGCTATTGAAGTTTCCCAGCTTCACTGAAGATGAGTGGCCTTGGGCCAGGCAAGGTGGTTCCACACAAGCCCCAGAGTGATATCCTCTCTTCTTTACCATCAGAGTTGTATCCAAACTTGGCAGAATTGGAGAGTTACATGGGGCTGTCCCTCTCTAGCCAAGAAGTCCAGAAGAGCCTGCCTCAGATTCCAGATGGTGACAATGTAGGTGTTTTTTTCCTGCCTCAGGTGGCCACTAAACATCCTACCTCTTAGGGTCTTGTCATTTAAAAGTGTGTGTGTGTGTGTGTGTGTGTGTGTGTGTGTGCATGCTCGCTCCTGTGTGCATGTGTGTCAACCCAGCCATTCTTATAGCAATTGGGACCCAGATGCACTCACCCTAAATTATGATGGGTGCTTTTTTTGGCAGGGGGGCAGGATGTCTCACTGTGTAGCCTTGGCTGGCCTGGAACTGGTTATGTAGATCAGGTGGCTTCAAACTCATAGAGATACCTGTCTCTGCCTTCTAAGTACTGGAATTAAAGATATGCACCACCACTCCTGGATCTTTTGTTTGTTTAGTTTAGTTCATTTTGTTTTTGAGACAGGGTTTCTCTGTGTAGTCCTGGCTGTCCTTGAACTGGTTGTGTAGACCATATTGCCTCTGTTTCCCGAGTACTGTGATTAAAGGCATGTGCCCACCGCCTGGTTTCCTGGATGTTTTTGAAAAAAATTTGTTTAGTCTATTTTTATGTTTATTATTGTTTTGCTTGTGTGTATGTGTACTGCATGTGTGGTTGATACCCGAGGAAGCCAGAAGAGGTCGTCAGAGTCATAGGACTGGAGTTATAGAAGGTTGTGAGTCACCATGTGGGTGCTGGGAATCAAACCCGAGTCCTCTGCAAGAGCAGGAAGTGATCTTAACTGCTGAGACATCTCTCCAGCTCCTTATTCAACATTTTTATTATTGTAGTTACTTCCAATGTTTTCAACTTTCTTGTTTTTAAATAGTAGGTTAATTTGCTAAATAATTTGTTAAAATAAGAAGTTCTTTTCACCAAGTGTTTCTTTCATGACCACAGTACAGTAGCAAGACCAATAATTTACACTAGTAAAATATGTGTCTATAGCTGCCTCCTCAGGAAGTTCTCCTATCCCTTTGTGGCCACACCACCTAATCCTTCCATAATCCCTGGCAACTTTCTCTTCTTCCATCCCTTACTCTTCCCCTGCCTTTCTTTTTATTTCTTAGCAGTACTGGGGACCCCATGGATGTTAGGGTGTTCTACCATGGTGCCACACTCCCAGCCTTATCTTCTGTCTGTATAATTTTATCACTTCAGAATGTAATATAACCGGAAACCAGAAACTATGAGTCTTTTGGGATGTTGTATGTATGTGTTAGTTGTGTGTCTGTGGTGTGTATGTGTGTCTTGCTCTATCTCTTTCCACCTTTATTTTTTGAGACAGTGCTTTTCACTGAAACTGAAGCTCATTGATTCAGCCAGGCTGGGTAATGAATGGCAGGGATCCTCCTGTCTCTGTTGCCCCAGATCCCCAGCACTGGGGCGACAGATACAGAGTCACATACCCAGCTTTTTATGTGGGGTCTGAGAGTCTGAATTCAGGTTCTTATGCATGCATAGCTGCTACTTCTTACCTGCCAAGGGCAATTTTACAGTTTCTTACTATTACATACAGGGTTTCTGTGTAAAGACTTTTATGTGGATACAAGTTTCCTTTTTGGCTCAATGGGCTTGAATTTGCAATTGCTACACAGTATGATAAATCTACATTCATAGGCAGCTGCCAGGCTATTTTCTTTAGGGGCTGTGCATTCTCCTCTCCTGCCAGTGGTGCCAAATGCCTAGTGTCTTCACATCCTCACCAGCACTTGGTGTCACTATGAGAAGTCTTCACCTGCATTTCCCCGATGGCTAGTGATTATTATGCCCCCACCACCTGAGATAAGGTCTGGCCCAGTCTGTCCTCAAACTCAATATGTAGCTGAAGGTGATCTTGGACTTCTGACCCCCCTGCTTCCCTGTCTCAAGTGCTGGAGTTACAGATGTGCACGACTGCACCTGGTTTGTTTAGGGCTAGGGAATCACACCCAGGACCTTAGCATGCTAGGCAAGCACTTGCCTGACTGAGCCTAATCACTGTCCATTTCGTGCATATTAATTGGACTCTAAAAGGTTGAGTTTAGGGACTACACTTTATAATCTGAGGTCTGCATCAGATATGTGGGTTGTAAAAACCATCTCCCACTCTTAAGCTTAGCTCTATCTCCATGACAGTCTCTAGCAAAGAAAAAGCTTTTAATTTTGATGAGGTCAAATATATTTTTTCATACTTTTTCCTTTCATTTCTTGGACTTCCTGTCTAAAGAATTTTCCCCCAAGCCCTGGGTTCTAAAGATTTTCTCTTTTACATTCTTCTGAAATTACTACGGCTTTGGCGTACATTTAACTTTATTATCAAATTTGAGTAGATTTTTGGAAAAGGTGTAAAGTTTATGTCATGGCTCCTATTATTGCCCCGGCCATTCATTGCCACAATGGATCTTTTTGAGATAACCCCATCCCCCAACTGATCTTGACCTCTGCCATGGTAAGAATCTCTCTGGATTCCCTAGTTGACTGTTGACTTAGGTGTCCAGTACCTGCTGCTTTGGGTACTATGGCAAGAGAAGTCTCGGTGTGTTTGTGCAGTTCCTCACATTTTGTTCTTTTTGTCTGAATCAGTTTCATTATTCACATTCCATTGTCTGTTAAAAGAAGCTTTCTTTTTTTCTTTTCCTTTCTTTCTTTCTTTCTTTCTTTCTTTCTTTCTTTCTTTCTTTCTTTCTTTCTTTCTTTCTTTCTTTCTTTCTTTTTTGGTTTTTACTAGACAGGGTTTCTCTGTATTGTTTTGGAGGCTATCGGTCCAGCCCGGCCTCGAACTCACAGAGATCCGCCTGCCTCTGCCTCCCAAGTGCTGGGATTAAAGGCGTGTGCCACCACCGCCCGGCCTCCATTGTCTTTCTACCTAAAACTAGATTACGTTACCTGCATCTCCAAAAGAGCTCACAGAACTTTGATAGAAATGTGCTGGTCTGTACGTCGGTCTGAGGATTCGACAGCTTTGCTAGTTCTTTCAGTGTGTGCATACAGGAAACCTGTTTGGTTAGGTCTTTGTCAATGTTTATCAGGATTTTTGTCACCTTTGGCATACAATGTCCATGCATCTTGTTAGATCCATACATATTTAGAGTGTAGATAACAGTTGAGTCTCGCTCTGTTGTTTGGACTGACTTCCAGCTTCTGGGTTCAAGTGGTCCTCTTGTCTCAGCCTCCTTGGTAGCTAAGACTACAGATGTATGCCACCATGCTCAACACGGTTGATTTCTATATGCTGATATTGAATTCTGGGACTTTGAATGTTTGTATTTATTTACTTACATTTTTTGGTTGTGAACCTAGCCTTTAACAGCTGAGCCATCTCTCCAGCCCGTATTTATTTACTTGTAACTAGGAATTTGTTTTTAGATTTCTGTGGATATTCTAGTAGACCATTTATCAACAAGGCTAACTATATCTCCTTTCTCTCCTCGGTGCCTTTCCCATTTTCTTGCCTCACTGTCCTGTGTCTAAGACATCTTTCTCTTTTCTGTCTCCTAGGAGGAACCATTTGTTAATTTTTATTCTTGGTTCAGGACAAAGTCAAACCTAGCTTTTCATTTTCCATGGCTCATTATTTGATGTGAAAATGTCTTTGTTGTTTTAGGTGGATGGATCTTTTCTTGATTTCCATTTCCGTTGGAAAATAAAGGGACCCCTTCCTGATCCCAGTTTCCTTTCCTCTCTTGTTAGGGATGTGGGTTTTGATGCCCTCTAGTGGCATCATCAAGCTCCATTCCCTCTCAGCCTCTACAAAGTGTGTGGTGACCTCAGGGACTATTCCATCCTCTTACTTACCCCCCTAGAACCCAGATGCCCTTGAAGCATGGGCCCCAGGTGCCTGGCTGACCTTTCACAACTGTGTTCGCAGATGGTGGTCATTAGCCCTGGTCCTGGCCAGGTGGTAGCACCAGTCTCTGGGAACAACCTGGGTGTGTTACGTGCAGAGATCAAGCCTGGGGTGCGTGAGATCCACCTGTGCAAGGACGAGCGTGGCAAGACGGGACTGCGCCTGCAGGCTGTTGACAAGGTAAGGAAGATCTGTGGAGGGGCCCTTGGAGGACAGTTTGCCCCTCTGATGCTAAGTAGCACTTGTCACAGTCCCAGGGATACAAACTCCCCTTTGGGACAGTTTCCTGACAGTCTGAGATGGTGTAGTGTATAGGGGCCTCCCCTCCCAGGTCTCAGAGAGCCTCTGTCCACAGTAAGGAAGGTTCCATGCAGGCACCTTAATACTGAGGCCTCAAGGTATGCCTGGTTGCAGCAGGGATTCTCATTTAGTCCCATGCAAGGCTCCTTTTACTCAGAGCCCCGTTTCCAGTACCCCAACTCCCATGGACCTAGCTTCATGGTGACTGTAGAGAAAGTCAGCCTGATGCCTTTGGGAAGGATGGTACAGGATAACTGATTGTGATGCTGAAATCCTGACTCTGCATACTCTGGGTGGTCTGGCGTGTTTCCTCCTCCAGGAAAACAGCCGTGACCTGAGTATCCCCCTGAAGATCTTAGATCCCACCACACTGTAAGCTCACAGAACGAGGGGAAAAGGACATCTCAGAGGAGGGGCCTAGGCTCAGGCAGCCAGGGGTGCTGACTCTAGAGTCTTGCTTCCCAGGGGCTCTTTGTGCAGCTGGTCCAGGCCAACACGCCTGCATCCCTCGTGGGGTTGCGCTTTGGGGACCAGATCCTGCAGATTGATGGGTGTGACTGTGCTGGGTGGAGCACATTCAAAGCTCACAAAGCTTTGAAGAAGGCATCAGCAGAGAAGATCACCATGATTGTTCGTGACAGGTCAGTAGCCGTGTCCCAGCATCCTCCCTGCCTGGCCCCAGCCACACCCGCAAGTCCAGCTTACTGTCACTTTCTACCAGGCCATTCCAGCGGACTGTCACTATGCACAAGGACAGCTCAGGCCAAGTTGGCTTTTTCATTAAGAAGGGGAAGATTGTGTCTGTGGTAAAGGGAAGCTCTGCAGCCCGTAACGGACTTCTCACCAACCATTACGTGTGTGAGGTGAACGGACAGAACGTCATTGGGCTAAAGGTAGGCAGGAAATGGTGGGGGTGGGGCAGCTCCTGTCTGCGTAGGCTGTAGAACCTGCCAGAGCCATAACATCTCCATCCTAAGGTAGATGGGGCTTCAGTATGACTGTGTGGAGCGCTGAGCAGTGCCAATCGCAATGAGTAGGTGCCCAGTAAGAGTTCGCTCCAGTTACTAACACGCAGGATGTGCCAGCAGGTATCATGTGCAAGGACACCGGCTCCCAGGCTACTGATGGCCACAAGGACACCACCTGCTCTGGGTGGCATTTCTCTTTGGATAGCTGATCACATTCAGTAATGGGGTTTCCTTTAGAAAACTATGACGTGGACATCCATTTCTGGCCGTGGCTTATTTAGGGAGGGCAGGCGAATTCTATCTTTACAATGCGAGAAGGTACACACGGATTTAGGCCTGTGCTGTGGATGTGGGAAGAGAGGTGTGTCCTGGGAATGGATGGCAATGAGCTGTGGTTTGAATAAGTGAGAGCATCCCAGTCCTGACTCATGCCACTACAGTGGGGGAGCCTCTCCACCAGATGGTGCTCACGGGGCAGGTGGTGGCATCTCCACGATGAGCACAAGCCACTCCAGTCTCCTGTCCACTTCCTGCCCCAGGCGGCCTCCCTTCACCTTCCTCGGAGACTTGTTCTGATGGCTGTACTACTGTGGCCAGGGAGCTCTATGTCTGAGATCCCTCCTGGCGAATCGGTTCCCATTACTCTGTGATCAAGCGTACCAGGCAAAAGGCCACCACCGTCAATAATGCCGCTCCTGAGCAGCTAGGGGTTGCTTCTTTGAAAAGATAACAGTCCATTTGTAATTCTGAGTGTAGCCATGCTTGGATGTGGGTCACGTATCTACACAGATGGTCCAAGGTTACCCTGCCTAGCCATGGTACCATGAGACCCTCAGATACTAGGGCTGTGCTCTTGAGCAGTGGCTGGTAGTTATGCTTTTTAAGGTCAGTTATCTATCAGAGTTTGTGGCCATCACTAGCACTAGTCCTATGGGGCATTTCTTCTATTTATTCTGGAACAACTAAGAAAGCACAGAACCAGATTTTGTATGTATGCGAAATGATGGTCACCAGGACCTGAGCAGGGACCAGAGGCTCATTACCACAACTGTAGTCGATCAACTGGTGGACAGACACTGTTTCCATGGAGACTGTCTGTTGTCCTCTTCATGATCTTACTAGCCAGCGAGGCGTGGGAGAGGATCCATGTGGCTGTCTCAGGCTGGTGAGCCACCAGGAGCCTGAGGACACAGGCGGACCCAGTGTCTCCCACAGGAGCTCACGTAGCACGGGCCAGCGGAGTTGACCGAGGCTGGAGAATCACATTTGTGGGGCAGTGCTGTAAGGCCCACATGGCTGGCCTTCTAGAGTGGGAGGCAGTGCCATGCTCCTGTGACCCTGCCAGTTCTCAAATGAGAGGAACAATACTCCATCTGAGATGTCCAGGGGCCCAGGCAGCCAGCTACCCAGGTGTGAGGGGTAGGTGGCGTCCTCTCAGCCATGCCGAGCTACCAGTCAGGGCAGTGCTACTCCCATTCTTCCAAATGACCAACCACTTTCCCCCTCTTCAGGACAAAAAGATTACAGAGATCCTGACCACAGCTGGAAACATCATCACACTGACCCTCATCCCCACTGTGATCTATGAGCATATGATCAAAAAGTAAGGCTATTACCCCGACCTGGGCACTCTACTTCCTATCCACTCCACTCCTATGCCCTGGCAGCCTCGGTGCTGACCCAGGGCACAGGTCTGCTCTGCTCTGTCTTTGGCTCTCCTTCAGTTCATGGTGGCTTCTCATGACTTGAAACCCTCAGAAGTGGGGTGCACAGGTTGGGATGGGGATGAAGGAAGTTTCAGCCGCTGTCGTTGTTGCCCTGTCTAGGTTGTCCCCATTGCTGCTCCACCACACCATGGACCACTCCATTCCAGACATCTGAAGTCACAGGGCAGCCCAGGCCTCCTGCCATCCTGCAGCGAACACAGCAATACTCCGATGACAGGCTGCAGCTGGCTTGCTGCTTGGGCCTGGGTATTGCAGGGGTGTGTCCCAGGTGGATGCATCTTGAATGAGTCTGTCATGTCTATTTTAAGGCTTTCTTGGGTCCTGACCCCTAGCTATTTATACTGAGGTACGGGTGGGACTCAGGCACGTGGTGCTCTGCACCCTAGATGCTGGGCACTTAGGCAGAATAGCAGAACATCACCAAGTGCAGCTGGGTCCCTTTGTAGACTTTTGCCTCCTGACTTGACAGAGGAATTCCTGTGTGTTCTTTGCTTTCATTGATCTTTGTCATGGATTGTGCATCGATTACTTGTGTAACCTTTTACTGTCTTTTGAATAAAGAGTGGATTTTAAACACAGCCCCTTCCATGAAAGTTCCTAGAAATTCCAGGATCCTGGGTCCTGTGACATGCCAGGCATGCTTTTGCTTTTGGACAGTGATCAGGCCAAGGCCTTATCTGTGTGCCTCTCTGAGAGCAGCAATCTGTTTGTGTTCTGGGATGCTTGCCAGACTGTCATAGGGATGTTGGCATTGAGGATCGTGTGACAGGGATAGTTGAGGATACCTTCTACTGGCTTGGGGACCCCTGCCTGAGTGATTATGGATGCTTTTGTAGCTACAGAATGGGCCAAAGAAGCCATTTCAGGACTACTGGGAAGAACTGGAATATTCTCCCAGTGCTGGGCAGGATGTGATCTGGGATCAGAATGGGAATTCTAGATCCTGTACCTGATCCCAGATGGGCAGAGAGGCCCCACCCTACACAGCAGGGCCTGGTGGGGCTGAGCCAGCTAATAGCTGGTTCCATCTGTGTTGGGTGCCGTGGAGAATTTCTCAGCCACCCCAACACGCTTAGAGAAATGACACGGTACAAAGACGCCAGGCTGAGGGGCTGTGTGTGTGTTCATGCTTTAATTCAGGGCTGTCTGCTACAGGCACAACTCTGTCTGAACAAAAAGAGAAAGGAGAGTCGAAACCCCTCCCCACGGCCCTCCCTCCTGTGTCCCCTGAAGTTTCTGTTAAGGGAACAGCCTAATGTGAGAGTACATGATGGCCTGTTTGTGTTGTCATCTAGTTTGGAGGGGGCTGTGAGTTCCCTGGGTGGAGGCCCCTCAATAAACAGCCTTTGGCCCTAGAGTCTGGGATCTGCTGTCTGATGCCTGTGAAGATGGAAAGGGGTCTCAGTGAAAAGCTATGTATACTACCTGCGTGAGACATTGGTCATGAACTCTGCTCAAGGCTGCCTCTGTTCAGAAGACCTCCCTGAGCCCTGACAGAGGGCTTCAGAACTAAGGAGCCACTACTTCAAGCCACTGTGCTCCCAGGGCTCAGTAGCTATAGAAGGTAGTTCCTGGGGGACACTTCCTCAAGACCTTGTCAGCTCTGACTGGAGGCAGGGGAAAGGGGCATCCTAAACATGTCTGCTCCAGGAGCCAAGGGCAAGAGGGCAAATCACACAGCCTATGGGGGGTGGTCAACTGGAAGGAAAGGGGGGAGCTTTGGGAATGAGCATCGAAGGGGGAGCCTAGCCCAGTCCCACCTTGCTCTCAATCCCCTTTTCCAGATACGGAACCAGCAGGCTGCTGAAGTGTCTACTTCCAAGCCCATTTCCTGGGGTTGCACAGGCATTGCAATCCCCTTGTACAGATATGGGACTCTGGGCTCATTTACACTCAGGAGCAGGGCCTGTACCCCAGCCTGCAGGGATCCAGGGTCATCCCACTGGCAAGGAGCCAGAGCCCTTCTGATAAGCAGAACTCACAAAAGAGGACCCCTGCTGTAGGCCAGGAGGGGCTAGGGCCAGAGCAGGAGCAGGTGATGGTCAGTTTCACTTACTGTCTATACAGACCTGGACGCTTCACAATGGCTTCTCCAGCAGCAGAAACAGAGTAGACCCAAGTCCACCAAAACACGAGACACGACAAGGAGGCCCAGACAGCAAGACATGGAACAGAGGGGCTGCGAAGTTGGACTAAATGCCAGTGGTGAAAAATATATGGATTTTTATGTTGTCAAATATAGTTCATACATTTATTTTCTCAGCAGAGCTTCGACTGTTGCTAAGGAGACACGTGGAGCTCCATGAGTGCATGGCACAGGAGGCTCGGTCCGTGGCCAGTCCTGGCTTGGCTTTGGATCAGTTCTATTCCCCTGTCTCCATGGCACCACCCCAGTGTCCTATGGGGCAGCCCCAGCGAGGCCTCAGGCATTTGGGTTTGGTTCAGCTGGGGTAGGGGTGCTCCACCAAGGATGGCTGGTCTGAGGCCCCAGCCAAGGTGGGGGAGTTTTGGAGGCACAAAGCGCGTGGCAGAGGGCTCTTGCCCTGATGGCTAGGCTGGCTGCCCACTCGCAGTGCATGCAGGTGCCCTTGGGGAGGGCACAGAGTGGAGGGGCAGAACTCATGAGTCAAGTAGTGGTCACTGGGGCAACAGTGAGGGCAAGCAACCTCAACAGAGAACCAGAGAGGCTCCTACGTCAGAGAGTGAGATGCAGGCTTCTACCAACTCCCCGGTGTGGGCCAGTCAGGTAGGGATGGCCTCTCTGGGAAGAAAAGGGAAGTGAGGATCAGGGCATCTTCCCAGGCTGACTGGGCCTGGACTAGGAGCAGCCCAGGCAGGCTCCCACTGCCTGGCCATGCCCCTGCTAAGGAAGCACACCCAGGGGACCCTGCTTTGGCATGGATAGGCAGATGCTGTGGCTTCAGGACACCATCTGAAGATCCCTCCAGATGGCCACCTTCCTCTGGAGACGACTGGGTCAGAGATTCAGAAGTCCTCATCCCAGAAAGTAAGCAGCCTGGGGGTTCTAGGAAGGGATCCTAAGGGAACTGAGTGCAAACATAGGGTCTGAGGTCAAAGGGGCCTGGGGCAAGTGGCCCTGACTTTCCCAACTTGCTGAGGCACCTCTAGGCTACAGATGAGATGAACTCATCTCAGAAGGTGAAGGGCCCCTGGGGCTGCTGGCCTTGCCTTCTCTGTGCTAGCGGATTCACCCAATGGCAGCTGGGGCTCAGGTAAGGGCTCCCTCCCAGTCTCATGGTTAGTGTGTCAGGAGTAGTGAGGGGCATTGGACAACTTGTGAAGATCAACACACCAAGAAGCCAAGAGGAAAACAGACTGTGGGGGCGGCCCGGAGGACAGACAGACAGACACAGAACCTGCCCTGCTCTCCACCCTTCCTGTCTGAACCAGTCACTACAGCTGGATCACACTTCTGCATCCCAGGGCAAGGGAGGAGGAGAGGCTGGGGTGTCAGTAGGACCTGGGCAGCGAGACCCTGCTTGGAGTGGTTCTCTGCGTTTTGGGTCCTGGCTGCCTCCATCTGAGGAGGTAATACTGGTCCAGGAGCCTAGGAGACGGCAAGGGTTGCCCGGGAGAGAAGACGTGGAGTGTGCTGGAAGGGTGGTGCAGGGGAGAGGAAGATCCCCAGGTCAGCACAGCCAGAGACTTTCTGAGCGGGGCCTGCCTTGTCTGAAGTCTAGGTGGACAGAGGGCCAGAGGGGAACTCTTAGCAGTTTCTCCCTCTTACCTGGCCACCCTTCCTTTTTCTCTCGAAGCTTTGGGATGCCTTTCTGAATCCCTGATACTATTAACATCTGGGGTGGGGGTGCTATTCCAGACCTGAAAGCAAATAAGAGGATGACCATGGGGATCTGACAGGGGCAGCAAATGGCATCCTGACATCAGTGGTCAGGCTGCCAGAAGTGGAGGCTGGCAGCCTCCTCAGAGCTGGGAGCCCCCTGCTGAGCTGGAGCTTGGCTGGCTCAGTGAGCGGCAGCTGATCCTGCGGATGGAGTGCAAGGCCACTGTGCAGCAGCCCCGCAGCAAGGAGCTGATGTTGTAAATGGGCTGGCCCTGGCGCCGTTGGGAGCGGCAGAGCCAGGCCACTGTTGGCACAGCTGGCACTACCACAGCCAGCAGATCCACGATGTAGTGGCGGCTCCAGTAACTCTTGGGTTCCTTTTCGGTGGTAGCCGCCTCCTCCTCCTCTTCCACAGGACACACCACACTCACTGGCAGTCCCGGGTTGGAGTTGGCCGCAGGCCGATTTGTAGCTGGCCCACAGGTGATGGGCTCTGGGGCCTCAGGCTCGTCACCTACTGTCACCACCACTGCCGAGTTGGGGTCTCTGGGCCCTGAGGGGTGGGGATCCGGCTCTGAGCGCATGTCCTTGGGGACTGTGCCACACACCTGAGCCTGGCCTACTTTCTCCAGGATGGTGTCCAGGTCAGGCTGGTACTGCACGAAGTCCGTCTGGATGGCTCGCTCCTGCAGGCAGCTGGCTTGCACACCAGCCTCCATGCCACACAGCAGCTTCTCATAGGTGTTGCTGGCAGGGAATCGGGGGCCCAGGTTGAAGGAGCTGTGCAACGAGGCTTCCTCAAAGCCACAGTCCACTCCTGATGACAGTAGGCTACTGGCCTCCAGGGCGTCCGTCTGGCTCCGTGTGTCGTCAGCAGCCACAAACCCACTGTCTGCTCCATCCTCAGCAGAGGTGCTGGAGGGGTCCCCTGCTTGGCGGTCACCACAGACAGCCGGGTCACTCAGCTTGGTGTAGGTGGAGCTGCGGGTGAGAGAGCGAGCAGGGGACCCGCCAGCCGACTCCCCGGCTCCTTCCTCCTTGGCTATTCCGTTCTGGGCCACCTCCATGCTGTGCAGCAGTGTCTCTAGCTTCTTGTTCTGGATATTGATGTCCACGAAGTACTTCTGCAGCCCCTTGTCCTTGTCAATGAGGTTGTTCTTGACAGTGTCGATGACCTGCTTGAGCTGCCTGATCTCCTTGCGGGCCTCTTTCAGAGCCAGCTGGGCTTCCACACGGTGGCACTCCTCCTCGATCCAGTCCTCCTGCATGCGGGACAGCTGTGTCTTCAGGTCATCAATCTCCGTGTCCCTGCGAGGAAAGGAAACACACTTGCTCTGTAGCCTGTCCTCCTGACCTGCCATTGCTGCTGTGGAGAGCAGGGGGCTGTCCCCAAACAGATGGTCCCAAAGCGGGGTGGCTCAAAGCTAGAGACAGAGGTAGGATTTAAAGCCTCTTCTTCCTTTCATCCAGGAAGGGTGGGTGGAGCCAGGGGCCAAGGCTCCCTTGAGATGGAAAAGAAATGGCAGTAGGAGCCACACCCCCATCTCACCGCTAAGCCACACCCTTCACGTCATCACCTCCAGAAGTGACTACACAGATCCTTAATTAATGAGCCCACTGCTATAAAATAAAACTCGCCGGGTGGTGGTGGCGCACAGCTTTAACCCCAGCACTCGGGAGGCAGAGGCAGGCGGATCTCAGTGAGTTCAAGACCAGCCTGGTCTACAAAGAGCTAGTTCCAGGACAGCCTCCGAAGCCACAGAGAAGCCCTGTCTCAAAAAACAAAAACAAAAACAAAAATGTAATAAACCCAATGCAAAGCAGCAAACGTGAGAGAAGGATGTGGTTTCCTACTGAAGCAGCTTGTGTTTTAAGTGGAGAGACATTTGTCCCCAGACCCCCAGGGACAGGATGGTGACATGAGAGAAACGACAGCCTTTGGTGTTGGTGGGGGAGCTGATGATTTTACAGCGTTCCTCTTGCAGAAAGTCCAGAAGGGAAATGAGCTGGAGGGTGAGGAGGACTGGGGTGGCTCCCTTGTACCAAGCAGGGGGCGTCTTCGTATTTACTGTCGAGAGGAGAGGCCAAGGAGGTGGATGAGAACCGCAGCTGCCAAGGGAAGGGCTGTGCCAGCAAGTGGGACAGCAGCAAGACTTCCGCCCGCAGGTGCGATGGCCTTTCAAGTCCCTGGTTACAGATGGACCTGGGTGCTGAAGAGGGAGGTGGTCAGTGAACCATGCCACGCGACTAAAGGGGAATCAGGTGAGACCCAGGGGACACTGACCGCAAGCAGTGGGAAAAGAGGACATCAGGGAGGCTTAGCATCCTGTCCAGGCATTCTCAGCGATGAGATGCGCATACAACACCTCAGCTAGAAGCCTGCCTTATGGGGATAAACTAAATGGCACGGCTGTCACTAGGGGGTTTATGAACCTAGCAGAGTGACTCTACCTTACATATAAGGAACTACAGATTTTCCAAAGTTAGCGTGGAAATTCCACCCGGAATAGGCTCCAGAGGCCAAGCAATATCCTCCAGGAGGGTCTGACCACCCAACACGGTATGATTCAGGACTGGAGCTACCTGAGTGGCAGGGGTCCTTGGTCTCTTGCCCTTCCCTCAGGGTGGGGCATCCCCACTTCCCACTGGCCCTGCCCTGGGAGGTGAGTCTGCTAGAAGGAGCTGGGCATGCTCAGCTTAGTGGGCCCGTTGTAGCCCCCTGGGCCTCGGGGACAATGGCGTCCCAGTCCTGAGCTGGCCTGGAGCCATAGGAATAGCATTTGAACTGCATCTTAAAGGAAGGGTCCGGCAAGGGTGCGAGACGGAAGAAAAGCACTTTGAAGTGTGGGGACACGTGCCCACGAGCACAGAGGAGGTTGTTGAAGCACATGCTGGCTGAGGTTAGAAGGCAGGCTAGCACAGGACCTGTGGATAGTAGATAATACCCAGAGGGCGTGAGGAGAAAGGCACTATGCCAAGGACAGGCCTGTTGTGGGACCTTTTGAGGGTAACCGACAGAGTAGTTAGGGACAAGAGGACATTTTTGCAAACACAGGAAGATGGCCTACATGCCACTGCTGGCTGGCCCAGAGAAGAAGCCGGGGATGGGCTGCTGGCTCCTCATGGACACCAGTGCCAGAGAACAATCAGACCCTGAGCATCCCTGGGAAGAGGGCAGGAACCCAAAAAGGAAACCTTAGTTCAAGGATAGTTGAGCCCACTGACCCCCTTGACCTCTGAAACCACAACAAACCCAGGCAGGACTGGTAGAGGCTGGTCACGCATGCTGTACTGTTACATATCCAGAGATCAATAAAGACAGGAAGACCAATGGGTGTCAGGATGATTGGAGAGTACGGGGAGTGACTGCTAATGGGAACAGGATAGTAAAAAGAGGTATCAGAGCACGGAAACTGTAAGAATGACCAACCAATGACTGGCCCAGCTTGAGACCCATACCATGAGAGGGAGCTCACCCCTGAGGGCCAGGACCCAGAGGCAGAATACCCCAGAGCTTAGGATAGAACCAAACACATCTGGTTAAAAAATAGTATATGAAATGATTACTAATGATATTCTGCCACACTCATAGATTGGTGCCTAGCCCAATTGCCACAGAGAAGCTTCACCCAGCAACTGATGGAAACAGATGCAGAGACCCACAGCTAAATATTAGGCAGGGCTTGGAGAATCCTGAGAAGAGGGGGAAGGATTGTAGAAGCCTGTGGGGTCAAGGGCACCACAAGAAAACCCGCAGAACCTACTAACCTGGGATCATAGAGGCTCACAGAGATGGAATCACCAACCTGGGAGCCTGCATGGGACTGGCCTTGGACCACTGCACATGTTACAGCTGTAAAACTTGGTCTTCTTGTGGGGCCCCTCACAGCGGGAGCAGGGGCTGACTCTGACCCTGTGCCTGCTTTTGGGACCCATTCCTCCTACTGGACTGCCTCACCCAGCCCTAATAGAAGCAAAGATCTTAGTCTCACTATAACTTGATATACCATGCATGGTATATCCACGGGAGGCCTGTCTTTTTCTGAAGAGAAATGAGGAGTTGGAGTGGATTGGCAGAGGGAAGGGGGGAAGTCGGGGAGGGACTGGGAGCAGGGAGGGGAAACTGTGGTTGTGATGTAAAAACAAACAAATAAGAGGTATCATATTGCGGTAATTGTGACAACTCTGTGACACACTACACGCCACCTAGTGATTACTTTAGGATAGGTCAACTCCACACACCATCCAGTGGCTGCTTTAGATGATAGGCCAGTTCTATACAACATCCAGTGGTTACCTTAGGTGATAGGCCAGTTCTGCACACCATCCAGTGGTTACTTAGCTAGGTCAGCTCTGCACACCATCCAGTGGTTGCTCTAGATAAGCTAATTCGGTGGCATGTAGAATACCTTTGGGTGGGTATAAAAGCTGCTGTAGACTCAGCCTGGACTCTTAGGGGAGTGCCTTGACCCTACCAAGAGTAAAATGACAGACTCTAGATATCCCCTATGTGGAAGGATTTGGCAATAGGGTGGGAGGGAGGGGGGGAAGGGGAGTGCGGGAAGAGGGGAGGGAGAGGGAACTGGGATTGACATGTAAAACAAGCTATTTAAAATTAAAATAAAAAATGAAGGAAAAAAAAAGCTGCTGTAGAAGCAAAGAAAAGGCACAGTAGGGATGCCTGCCCTGAGCTCTAGTGTCCCACACAGCTTGGTCCAGCTCGGAACAGACACGGTTCAGAGGAGGCTGGCCAAGGTGATCAGAGGTGGGCAAGCCCACCTTAACACTGTTGGTTGTGACAGGGCCTCATTATACATTCCAGGCTGTCCTCAAACTTACAATCCTTCCCCAGTCTTATGCTGGGGTGACACACATGTGCTCTAGTGTCAAGTGTGACCTTTAAAGATGAAACCTCCAGGAGGGCCAGCACAAGTGTCCACAAGGACTTGGGAGTGAGCATAGCTGGACACAGCTCCTGGGAGACCCCCAGGCTGAGCAGGGCCTCAGCCACATATCTCGTGACATTGTATCATCTACAGGAAGGAAGCAGACGTCTGGGCCTGGTCTGATGTGCTGAGACCCCTGTGTCTCATTGTGTAGAGGCAGAGAGCGTTAAGGGTCTGTTTCTTACTCTCCCCCACAGGGATAAGGAAGCCAGAGGGAAGACAGGATTCAGGAGAGAAGCCGCCATCACAGGAGGTGCGGGGCTGTGGTCAGGAGAGAACTGCAGCAGGAAAGTGACTGACAGTTCTTAGAGGGTCCCTTTCCCACTGGCCCTAAGCACCTGCCTAACGTGGTCAAGGGGCCGGGACTGGAGCCTCTATAGATGGGCCCACGTGAGGCTTTGCTGAGAGGAGAGTTGGTAGATGGCAACAAGGCCCATTCCTCCTTCCTCACAGGGTACCTGGGACCCTGGCTCTGCTCAGAGTGGAGCTGGCTGGTACTCCCCGGGGTCCCCTTGGCTGCCACTTACCGGTCCTGGAGCCGGTCCTGTGTGTCCTTGAGCAGGGCCTTCAGGTGCCGGATGCAAACCTCCTTCTGCTGTAGTGGAGTCAGGTACTGCTCTGGGGTGGGGGGCTTGATGCCATGGTTGTCGCTGCATAATGTGTACTTCATGGAGCGCCTGCAAGGGTATGTCCATCAGAGGCGGGCATGAAGAGGGCAGGGCGAGTACCGGGCTGGGCCAGGGAGCACCTAGCGATCTTCAAGCTCAGCCTGTGCCACCAGCCCCCCTGGGGGCTCTGGGCATGGCGCAAAGACAGCTAGCCTTCTGTGAGGTAAGTTTTGATGAAGCTCTTCCGAGGGAAGAGTTGCATAGGGGCTGGAGACACCTCTGCTTAGGGAAGAGGGCATCTCTCACGAGGCTCGTGCGTGCTCAGTGTCTTACACACCCTGTGTGGACCCTCACAGCAGCAGTGGGTGAAGGAACGTCTTTGTCCTGCAGACGCACACTCACTTCAGAGAGGGCGGCTAACCAGCCTCCATGTGTGCTTCCTGAGCCCGGGCTGCCTGTCTTCAACAGAGAATGTGAGACAGGGGAGCAAGGGCAGGTCCCAAGTGGGCCTGGAGGGTAAGGACTCCCCTGCAGAGGAGGTGACATCTTCCTGGGAGGGAGACACTCTCCTCGCTGCAGCTGAAAGCCTGTCTAGCCTAGGGACAGGAATGAGGACGCAGGTGGGAGGTCGTGGCTGTCTCTGCAGCACATGCCCTGACACACTCTCTTCACCCACCTTCAGCAACATACAGTTTTCCATTACATGTACACACCGAGAGGCCTGGCCACCCCTTCCTCTCAGCAAAGTCATGGTGTCTCGAGTCACGTCACCACTGTACATACACCATTTTCATGCTGCCTTCATAGGTAACTGCCTGGTCCAGGAAATCAGCCATGTGTATGCACCTGCACTCTGGGACATGTGTGAACACACATGTGGACACTTGTTAGGTGTGTCAGTTAGCATGGCCCTGAGTAGCAGCTGGCTGGATGCCTTCTACAACTGATACAGTGTGTTATCCACTGGAGAGGATCCTCTACCCAGAGGGCCATGGGTGCTGGGGCCGAGTGCTGGCCAAGGCTTTCCTAGGAAGGAGAACTCCCTGATTCCACAACAGACTATGGTTCAGATGGTTCCACCCACAGCTTCCTGACTGCAGGATCTGTTCTTAAGAACCTTGCTTGGATCTTGGTTTCAGACCCAGGGAGTGTTCCCACACAATGGAGACTGGGGCCTACACATCCCAGAGCTGGAAAAGACAGGTCCCGTGGAAGCCCATTGTGGAAGTAGCCAGGTTGAAGGCAGATTTAGTTTCATGGAAGCTGTGTAATGTTTCCTGTAAAGTGTTAGAGACAAGGTGGCAACAGGAGGGAGCCGGATCACACAGCTTCTCCTCCACCTTGCAAGGGCAAGCGGTGGCATGGCTGGGTGCCTGGGCTTCCACACCCTGCTCTAAGATCTCCCCAGAAGAGAAGGAGCCACACAGCATCCTCCATTCAGACCTGTATCCGCCCTGCCCTGCAAGGGATTTGGCAGGAGGACATACCCCTGTGACAAGTGAAGAGCTTTCAGCCCGGCATGAGGCAAGGGGTGGAAAAGCCAGTGTTAAACTTGTAAGAATGAGGGTTAGAGGAAATGCATGTTCTCATCTGCGTCATGGACATTTTTCCAAGATGACATTTACTACACGTTTATAGTCACTAGTAGCACTCTCCCCCAGTGTGTGTGTGATGTATTTAAAACGAGAAACGTGATACATATGTTAGCAGAGACAGCCTGGATGCAGTGAGGTCCTTAGGTAGTATTGTCCTGCCCTCCTCCAGGGGTGGCAGGTCTCCTTTTGGGCAATAGGACTTCTCCACAGGTGTTCAATTTGTAGTTTGGGACTGCCCCAGGGGCTTCGGATGGAAGATGTGTTATAAAACTGTTACTAATAGCAAAGTCTGAATGCTTCCAATTCTGTTCCTTTCAAGATATAAATTGGTTAGAAGTCAGACCTGGGCACAGGTCCTGCATATGACTGTTACCAACCATCCACACCTTGGTGGAAAAACCTGAGACCTGTGCCTTTAATAGCTTTGGACATCGCTGAATAACAGAAGATATCTCTGCTGAGAGGAGCAAGACATGGCTTGCAGGGAGGAGCTCCACTGTGCCCTCAAGTCTTACTGTGGCCCAGGACATACAGACAGTGCACTGTGACCCAGGACATGCAGGCAGTGCACTGTGGCCCAGGACATACAGACAGTGCACTGTGACCCAGGACATGCAGGCAGTGCACTGTGGCCCAGGACATACAGACAGTGCACTGTGGCCCAGGACATGCAGGCAGTGCACTGTGGCCCAGGACATACAGACAGTGTGCAGAGCCATTCACTGACATCTCTGGGTTATTATTTCTATTTTATGGAAAAGAAAAAGTTGAGCCTCAGAGACAGGAAGCCTGCAGCTGCCCTCAACCCTCCAGTGCCCACTTGTATCCCAGCACCCAGGAAACAGGGCTCCACATCAGCATCCTGATTCTGAGATCCTGGTCTTCAAGGATCCGTGGCACTCACTTCTTTACCTGCTGTCAGTGAGACCCTGTATTTCATGTCTCTACCTACTGTCCCTAGACCATAACTTAGCGCATGCCGCTCCTGTAGAGCATCACCACCCCGTGACTCGAAGTGCCTGAGACAAATGCCCCATGCCCATCCTGCTTTTTCCTCCTTGTTTGCGGTGGCACCATTGGGAGGAAAACACTAATCCTCTGGGAATTAACGGGATAGGATGCTAGTAAGCCATGTGACCCAGTCCTACCAGTGAAGTCTAGGCAGAATTTCACAGGGAAAGTGTCCCTTCTCAGAGCAACCAACACAAGAAGGGGGGGGGATCTTCTTCCTTGCTGACTGGATGCTGATAGCGCAGGAGCCATCTTGGGATAATTAGGATGGTGATCACGGATAGGTAAGACCTGTGATGTTGCAGGTGGTGCCTGTCTCTGGCCCTGGCATCACATGTGCTCATGTACATCTTACAGACAGGAACCAAAGCTTGGAGAGAGACATGACCTGTTCTAGGTCACAGTCTGGAAGAATACTGGAGTTGGGGTGGGCACAACATGGTGCTGTCCCCCATCTCCTGGGCACCGGGTTCCCAGGCAGCCAGGCCTGGCTGGAAGGAGGAGCGGGTTACCTCGGTGTGGGGCTGCTGTCACTGCCCTTGCAGGAGCCAGAGTTGCTGCTGCTGCTGAGGGAAGAGGCACCGTAGGCGTCCCGCACACTCACAGGTGGAGAAGTGCGCCTGGAGGCGGGGAGAAGAGGCAGCTGCTCATTCTGGCTGGCGGGCAGCTGTGGGCACTGGGCGAACACAGCCAGGCCGCTACGGCCTAAGGTGCCCCCACTTCGGGTTCATCACGGGAAGAAAGGCAATGGGGAGGGACACACACACAGACAAGGGCGACAGAACAGACAGTGGACATCAAGATAGAAAACCGGAAGGTGGCTGACCCTCCTAGCTCCCCAGGGTCAAGAACAGAGGCTAGACAGGGCTGTGGACAAATGGTGGGCCCCAGGGTCTCTCACAGCCCAGGAAGGATACCCATGCATGGACTGAAACAGAGGGGAGTAGAATGGGGCAGACAGGAGGTGACTGGAGGAGGGACCCTCAGGGTGACAGTCAAAGGAGAGCGGCGCAGGGACAGTGATGGCGGAGCTGGTGCTGATGGGAACCTTCAGATAACTGTTGTATCCACCATGTCATTTAGGTCCTTAAATAGTTCCTGGAGGTGGCATGGATCAGCCAGCCTATTTTAAGGATGGGGAAACCGAGGGCGCAATTTGCTTAAAGGCACACTGCAAGCCCTCCTGCCTCGGAAGCTCAGACTCTAGCCAAGGGAGACTCACCTGCGAGATCCAGCAGAGGCCCGTCTACTTCCCGGCAGGGACATGGCCATGAGGCTGCGGGTCCTGGTTAGCGGTGGGATGGGCGGCGTTCCCGGGGCTGAGGAGAGAGGGCGGGTTGTGGGGGGCGTAGGGAGGGCAGGGCCGGGCCATGTCATCCTCTCACTGGGGCCACTGCCTGGCATGGCTTCTCTTCTTGCCCTTCGGCCCACAACCCAGAATCAAGCGAGAACGTGTAGGCTAGGCTGCAGGCGGCTGCCTCTGCCAGTGAATTCAGTGGGCTTGGCACAGACTGCCACCCTGGTTTAAAGTCTCAGTTAGCTCTCAGAGCCTCAGGGGTGGCTAGGAGTCATCAATCCAACCCCAGATCTTCCAGGTCAGTGATGGTGCCCAGAAGGGTGAAGACCCCACCACAGTCACGGGGACAGCAGGACAAGGGCCTCCTGTCCACCAGAGTAGCAAAGCCTGCTTCCCCCCAGGTCCCTGCGCCTCAGACCCTGCCTCCCACATCCAGTCCTCCCTCCGTGGCAGGGGCTGCAGGTCAGAGGACCCCTGGTGCAGGAGTAGGAGCCCCAGATTAGGCCGGGCTGGTCTCGCTGACCATCGCCTTCCCAGTTGGCACGTGGTTCGGGGCTTCCTGGCTACAAAGGAGACAAGACAGACGGACATACCAGCACACGTGTAGAAAGATAAATGGATACAGACAAAATAGGTCATTCTGAGATGTGTCACACACGTCCATGTACATGCTCAGGCGCCTGCCCACAAGGCAGGACAAGCAGCCAGGTCCTCTGACTCCCATGCTGCGTGCACACAGGCTAGCCTCTGCCATACAAACATGCATGCTCATTTTAGTGCGTCACAGGAAACTGAGCACAGGCTTGATGCACCCGAGGCCAAGGTCAAGAGAGCAGAAGCCCTCCCTAGTTGCTGAGTGTTCCACGGTGGGTTCTCTAGCAAGCAGCATTCACATGTCCAGGAGACTTGAGAAGAGGATGGGTGGACTCAGCCCCACTGACTCCTGTGCTGCGTCCTTAGGGTGTTCCCTTGAGTAGGGATTTCAGTGTCAGGGACAGCTCTGCAGGGATGTCTCCAGGAATGTGGAGGAGGGAGAGGCCCCATGCGGAGGGTGTAGCTGTCTGGGATCAGGGCTACACTAGATAGACATCCGCCCAGAGCTCCCTTGGGTCAAGGGAGAGAAACCTAGGCTCCCTACAGCCAGTTTTGAGCCAGCCCAGAGGTTGTAGTCATGGACTCCACATTCAGAGAAGGAACTGTAGACAATAGCCTGGGAAAGCTTAGCTGAGAATGCCATGCCCTGGACTTCTGCCCATGCTGGGGAAGAAGCAGCCACCAAGCCAAGCCCCACTGCATACCAGCCCGTGCTACACGTGTACGTACATTACGCCATTGACTTCTCCCAAAAACCCTATGAGGAAGTGCTGAGATTAGTGCCCTCTTACAAATAAGGAATCAGGGCCACCATGCGCAAAAGGGCTTGCCCAAGTTACAGCCTAGTTGTGTGGCAGGACCAGCATTTGAACCAGACTGGCATCATCAGATACTGAGATCTCAACCCCCAGAATTCCTGACCCAAGGACTACCTCCTTCCCACGTCAGGGTCCCCAGGAGCTTGCTTCTCCTGCACAGTAGTGGGGCCATCTCCTGAGTGGACAAAGGCACTACTCAGATGACCAGTTTCCTGGCTGTGATACAGAACACAGCCTGTTCCCCTAGAGGGCCTGGACACAGCCAGCATTGTCTGCCCAGAGGTGTCAGATGTAGGAGCCGCTGACACCATGCCCGTCACCTGAGCTGCCCACCTAGCTTGGCACCACTTCCCATCCACCAGTCTCAGTCACCCAAGCAGAGCCTCTGGAAACTTCAGGGCCAGAGTCACGGTGGGGGCCATGGGCAAGTACAGGGTGGGGCGTCTGTGGAGAGCATCCCTGTCCAGAGAGGTACTCAGGGGTCCCTGCCTGTCGGGCACAGGAGGACCTTGTGGGCAGCTAGGGTAGAGTAGGTAGGGGGTGGTAGCTTTGCTCATGCATGGACAAAGCTTCGAGGACTACCCCCCACAGAGTGAATCCCTCTGAGGACAGCTGGCCTGCTAGCAGCGTTCTTTCATCTGGGCCCTTGCTAGTCCACGTCGCCCTGGCTGCACTGGTCATGTTCTCATCACTGCCTGCCTCCTGGCTCTAGGCGGGCTGCAGGGAGGAGGCAGCACATTCAGAAGGCCTCACCTCCCAGAAGGCTTACGCCCCAGCCGGTTTGGGTGAGTGTGGCTGAATTGCTGGTGGATTAGGTGGAGCTCAAGGCCTAGGTCTAGGGAGGCAGGTGAGAAAGGCTAGACTGGAAGGCATGCGGCCCCGGTACAATGCAAGCTTTGTCCCAGCTGTCTGCTACTACCTTGCTTGGCAACCCCCTTCTCCCCCCTCTTGCGTTCTCTTTTCCTTCCTCCCTGGCTGCGGGTGGGAATGGGGTGGCATTTGTACCCGGAGGCAGCTGACAGTCTCCTGGGAGACCAGGACCAGCCGTTAGGGCAAAGTGGAAGTGGCATTTCCCCTGCTGGGATGGGACCTCATAGGCAGGGGACCTCTTGGGAAGGCAGAAGCCATCCAGACCCACAGGGCACCCCCCTCAGGATCCTGCTCAGAGTGTGTGTCCTATGTCTGCTTGGCTCCTCCCTCTCACCAAACCCCTAGAGAGGAGGCTTGTTGCCACGGTATTTATCGCCATGCCGCCTGTTCAGCCCGGAGTCCCACAGGCCTGTCCCTGGGCAGCCAGAGGCGGCCACTTGGAATGGAAGATGAAAGGAAACTCTAAGCCGTGGAAGCAAGGCCAACAATCTCTCATCCCTTCAACCCCAGGAAAGCCGCCCTCTCACACCAGTGTCCCTCTTTCCCCACTGCGCACTCTCCATAGCAACCGCACAAACATCCACCTCTTTGATTGGTCGTCTCCACCCCCAGTGCTGCCCAAGGCCCTAAAATGGGTAAGAAGAACCGTAAGGATGCAGAAATAGGGTCACACAGATCTGGGATTGAATTCTGGTTCTTGTACTCTGACTGCATGCCTCAGCAAGTCTGGCTACAGCTGGGCTTCAGCCTTGCATCTGCCGTGAGCTGCAGCTCCTTCTGGGCACTGCGAAGGTAGCATGCAGCAGTGCATGCGTATGGCATGGATGGGTGCTCCGCACATAAGAGACACCAAACAGGAGCAGACAGTGCTCTGGAAGTAGACACTTGAAGTGTGATGTGACCTTCAGAAAAGAAACACATCCAAGACATTTTGGGGGCTCCAGGAAGGTCAAGAAAAGCCTCTTCCAACCAGAAACTCGTGATGGCTCTGGAAGGATGAGTGGGAGTCCACCAGTGGGAAGGCAGGGGCAGCATGGGCAAAGGCAGTAAATAACTCAATGACATAGTTGCTCGGAAGCTGGGGTGCCTGGTGAGGAACAGTGGGAGCGGGCTACACACAGCCTGGTTAGCCAGGGTCTTGTCCAGTGGGCCACAGGGAGGCATGCGATTGTCCCACAAAGGAGAGGGGCACATCAGATGTGCTTACGAGAAAGCCCTGGGTGGGGAGCCCTTGTAGAGTGTGTTGGGAAAGGATAGGACCAGAGGAAAGAAGACCAGGTTGGAAGGCAGGGGTCTCAGCAGCATCCGGAAAAACAGAGAAAGGACCTGGACCCTGTTTGAGATCCATCCAAAGCTCATGGTGATGTGAAAATAAAGGGAAAACATTTAATTCTGGTGATCAAGTCCTTTCCACTTACAATAGTCTCCTCCTCCTCTTTTTCTTCTCCCTCCCCCTCTGCACACGGTGTGCACAAGTGTGTGTATGTGTGCACATGCACATGTGTGTATGCATGCAACAATAGCTCTGTTTGCCAAAGCACCACTGTATCTCTGCTTGAGCTCTCTGCTGGCCTATAGCATCCTTCCCCAGAACTGGATGCTCTGCAGCCTTCCTACAGGGACCAGCCCTCAGCCCTTCTTAACTCCTTAGCTGAAGCTCCCTGGTGTATTTCATAGGAACAAATACAATCAACATATAATATATTGGTTTAAAATCTGTGTTAGATCATGGAGCTAGACTAGATGGTCTCTGAGGAACTCTGAGTTCCATATTCTGATTCTGGGGATGTTTATGAAACAAGGGATTTGCAACTGATGATTTCTTCTTCACTGACTAGACTCCTGGGTGGCAGTTTCCCCAGCTTTAAGATTAGAAAGTGCATCTCTTGGGAGATACTGGTATCTTACTCACTAGGGGAGCAGCCAGGTGCTCAGGTCAATGTCCCAGAATATACCTTTGAAGGTGTTTTTTTCAAGGCATTAGACATCAACAAAAGAAAAAAGCAAGCCTGAAATCCCAGAGAACAGAACAGGCCGAGCTGGTGACTCAGCCCCCAACAGCTGTGCAAAGCAGAGCATGGCAACCAGAGTCGGGAGGAATCCCATCTCTGCCAAGGCAGCAGCAGAACCTGGAACATTCTTCCTAGGCAAACACAGCAACTTGTGCTCCTTGAATACTAATGCAGAGATGGGAATGGAAACAGCCTGGACATCTGCCAGCAGCCACCCTTAGAACACCAGCGCAACTCCACCAGGGTGATGGGCAAAACTCTGCATGCTTCAGGACGGCCTCATCCTCCCCCATCAGCACCAAGTCCAGCCATTCTGCACTTGGAAAGGGGAGACACTTCTCCAGCTCATTTCCTGTCTCTGGCACAAGCCACCCCCTGGACTGAAACCACTCAACGGAGCCATTGAATTCTACTTTCTCACTGTGGCAAGCCCAGTATAGTGGCTGGGCTGTTCTACAACTTGGCCGAATGCTGCAGGGGTTCCCAAGGCAACCAGGAAAGGCCTCCAGTGACAAGTCTCAGACGCCTCAGCACGGGTCCCAAGCCCTGATCTACACACCACCTAAGGGAACTTATCTCTGGACTGCTGAACACAGCGCACCCAGGCTTCCTTTTCCATTTCAGCCAGTGGGGTCCTCGTGTCTGTTCTACCTGTGGAAGGTGGGCTGACCAACCCTGACTGAGAGCACTGGGGAGGAGGAAAGTAGCCCATCCCACAGGCTGGCCCCAGGGCAGAGTAAAAGGGAACAGAATCTGCATGTAGAGGTACCCCTCATTCTGCCTGTCCGTTTGTCTTTCCCTCTCTTCCCCTCTCCGGCAGAGTGAGGTGAACAGACATTTCACAGTCTCCCTCACCCAGCAGGCTAACACTGCTTAAGTGGCACAAGATGGATCCCATGCCCACCTTTCATTGTGCTGAGAAGTTTTGTCACAGGGACAGAAACTGACCAACTAGAAAGTCTGAAGATTGTGCATGTGCGCGTGTGTGCACGCGCTTGCACACGTGCATGCGTGTGTACATGAAGGCCAAAGTTGGTTATCTTCTTCAATGATTCAACGTTACCTTTTGAGACAGGATTTCCCACCAAACCTGGAGCTCTCAGTTCATTTAGACTGACTAACCAGCAAACCCCCAAGTTCATCTAGACTGAATCTCCAGTTCATCTAGCCTGACTGGCCAGCAGACCCCAAACATCTTCCATTTCAGTCTCCCAGGGGCTGGGATTACAGGTGTACACCATGCTCTCCTGGGGATTCAAACTCAGGTTCTCTGTCTGCATGGCAAGTACTTTACTGACAGCCATTTCCCCAGGAAGACCATTGTGGTTTGGCTGTTGTTTGTTTTAGAACTCTTTAGTTTTTTAATTAAAAGAAATTTACTCTTATTATGAATATGAGTTTTTACATGTATATATGTGCATCATATGTGTGCCTGGTGCCCATGGATGGCAGAAGAGAGCATTGGATCCCCTAGAATGTAGTTACAAATGGTTGTGAACCACATGTGGGCACTGGGAACCAAACCCAAAGCAAGAAGGATTTGGGGACTGAGGATGTAACTTGGTAGCAGAGGGCTTTCAGAGTATGTGAGGGGCCGTGGGTTAACCCCCAAGCACTGCCCAACTGCCCCCAAACAAGAGGGGCGACTACAGGTTAGAAATTTGTAATATAACTTCATCTCCACTAGGATGACTATCAGAAGACGGGGCACAAGTGTTGTGAGCGTGGAGAAACCCCCACGCAGAGCTGGTGTGGCTGTGCAACGGTGACCCTGCTATGGAAAACAGTTTGGAAGTCCTCCACAGAGCTCAACAGGATTGCCTTCGAGCATGCAATTCCACTACGAGATAGATTTCCCAAGGAATGAAACAGGCATCGAAACACTGTGCGCAGGGTGGATGCAAACACTATTCCAACAGCCAAGGGTGGGGAGATCTACTGCTTGTCAGTAGCTGCAGTGAGTGCTGCACAGGACATCCACGCACCAGGACTTCAGCCGCAGAAGAGATGAGGTAGTAACACAACATGGATGAGCCCCTAAGACACCGAGTTAAGAG